TGTTCTTTATTTACTACTTTAAACGTTATGTAAAACAAATCACTTCTTTATTACATGAATGTTAACTTATAGTTCTTTATTTACTACTTTAAACGTTATGTAAAACAAATCACTACTTTATTACATGAATGTTAACTTATAGTTCTTTATTTACTACTTTAAACGTTATGTAAAACAAATCACTACTTTATTACATGAATGTTAACTTATTGTTCTTTATTTTACTTTCTGTTGGTATTTTAGATTGAGTTTTGTAAATGATCAGTTAGATGATTAGGCTTTTTTGTTAATCTTATGTTTCAGAGAAAACGATGTAGTGTTGCCACATTGATCATATTTTTCTTACAATTCTCAGTTTATATCATTTTATGTCGATAAACTTTATAAAGACTTTTCTTTGAATTAATAAATATTTACAATAAACAAAGACTATAAGTTCAAGGTGGATTATAATTAGTAATCACTTGATCGGTTATTTGAGCCCAAGTTCTCTTATAGTCTCACTGAAGTCATCTAAAAATTCCAACGAGTTCGATTTTGTAGACTTCGATTCAGCGTTAAGCCTATTTTCTACATTTCCGCTTTGTAATTCTTGTTCACGAGAAACGTTGACAACATTAATAAACTTGTCTTCAGTCGTAGGCCGAAGAATGTCGGATAGTGATTGCCCGGCAGTGTTGGCTTCCCAATCTTGCCGATTCTCGTGGATTTTAGTATCTTTTGTTTCCTCTTCTGGAAGAAAATTCACTTTTCCTATGGTACTAGGTTTATTTATTGAGCGAACAGCAGGTTTTGCTAATACATTCGTATTTCCCGGTGCACTCGCGCCAGCCACTAGCGGAGATTTTCTGTTGAAACTTTTTGCAGAAGTTGTCCTTGAGATAGTGCCTTTACTAGAAGAACGTGGATTTATGACATTTTTTGTTGGAAATAAACGATTTATCCCTTTACAGCAGCTACCGATGTATGTGGGGCAGAAAAATAGCCGAAGAAAGAGAAAGAAAACGCCAATTCCGATCAGGGACGGCCCGATCCCCATAAATGCGTCTTGAGTTTCAGAATGCGTAAATTCGACATAAACTCCCGCGAGTGTCATGGCTAAACCGAAGAAACTCAATGACAATCCAACGATAATAAGAACGTTGGCGCCAACACTCTCTTGCCTGAATGAATATCGACTTGTAGCCGAATGAAGTGTCGATCTTTGGTTGGTTGATGAAAAATTGGAACTTGTTGAAACGTTTCTACCATGGTTGACGTTCGATCTTTTGCTTCTGTCTGACATGATGGCGGAGGTAAGTGTTAGGTGTTCAGGGTTTCTTTGTCCATACTATACAGTGTCTCTCTGGTATGTCTTATCTAGAACATCAAGAAAAATGTCAATAAAATAACTATTATTTCACGTAAATGATAACTAAGAAGCTAAATTAAATCGTGTATATTTTATATCATTTGAAAGTGCAATATTTACTATATTAATATATACAAACACCAAATTAAAAACAATAAAGATACGATGTTTTTAACCTCACTGATGCCCTCTAGTGTGTCAGTGGTAAGTTTATAGGCTTACGACGCTAAAAATCGGGTTTCGATACGCATGGTGGACAGAACATAGTTAGCCCATTGTGTTGTTTTGCGCTTAACAACAATCAGATCAAAACCAAACCAAATTAGAAAAAGTGACCACCTGGTTTGTTTTCGAGTGTAATTGTGTGTTTATCATTTCATAACTAAAACCAACTTATAAAGAGGACAGAGTGGTAGCTGTGAAACAAACAACTCTTATTGCAATTCATATAATCTCCCTCATCCACTACCCTCTATTTTCACATTTTATTATTGTAACCTAGATGCAAAATGTTTTCCTAAAAACTTAAAATACTACGTAATCTTACATAAAATCTATTAATATATATAAGATAAACATAGCATTTGGATTGAATTGTTGTCATGTAACATCGTTTTTATAGCACTAACTCAAAGGAGAAAATAAAGATAAGGAAACAAATAAAATAGCTTACAAGTTTTTTTTACGTTTTTCTTTTTCTGTTGTTATAAAATTGCTTCCTGTTCTTGTAACCCAGGGGAAATTATACTTCACAGTGCTTTTGTTTTTTGAGGCTTTTTCCCAACAAAATCGATGATTTTAAACGGAGATTGCACATTTTAAAATCACTCCAACAATCAATCTTATTTCAGAATCTTCAGATTTTTCAAGAGTCATACAGTGAAAGTAGTTAAAGTTGTTAGAACTTTAAACTTAGAAGACAGAAAGTCCAAGGATTGCTTGCTTGTTATTAGGCACAAAACTACACAATGTGCTGTGTCCACCATGAATATTGAAACCCGATACTTAACACTGAGCCACTGGGGGAAGAAGGGTCTAATCTCAAAGAATGTGCATCGTTTGAGATTTTCGAGTAACTGTCATTTGGTCATCTGATAATAAAAACTATTCTAAACGTGTAACCTGAATCAGGAGACTGCTTGTTTGGCAAATCGCGTAAACTGAATCAGAGGATTGTTTGTTTGGCAAAACGTGTAACCTGAAACAGGAGATTGTTTGTTTGGCAAAACGTGTTACCTGAAACAGGGGATTGTTTGTTTGGCAAAACATGTAACCTGAAACAGGAGACTGCTTGTTTGGCAAAACGTGTAACCTGAAACAGGGGATTGTTTGTTTGGCAAAACGTGTAACCCGAAACAGGGGATTGTTTGTTTGGCAAAACGTGTAACCTTGAAACAGGAGATTGTTTGTTTGGCAAAACGTGTAACCTGAAACAGGAGACTGTTTGTTTGGCAAAACGTGTAACCTGAAACAGGAGATTGTTTGTTTGGCAAATCGCGTAAACTGAATCAAAGGATTGTTTGTTTGGATATATATAACAAATATATTAACATTTCCCAAAGGTAGAAATAGAAATATATCAACTTATTTACGCCTGATAGTGTATGTGTGGGATAAACGACCTCTGTCGAAAACAATTGAATAACAACGAATCTTCCGTGACTCTTAGGGACATCTTCAAGGTATAAAATGTAAGATATTTTCTTTGGGTTTTGATGGAATCTTGAGACAAGAACGAGTCAGAAAGAAGTGGAATGTTACTATTTTAGTGATTTTAAAATATAAATATTTGAGTTAATGAATCTTCTTAGAAGATCGAAGCTAATAAAAAAAATATTTCCGAATGAAATAATGTATATAAAAACTTTGACCTTCTTCAGTAAGTATTGCCCCCGAGTGGCACAGCGGAATGTCTGCGGACTTACAACGCTAGAATCCGGGTTTCGATACCCGTGGTGGGCAGAGCACATATAGCCCATTGTGAAGCTTTGTGCTTAATTACAAACAAACAAACAAACAATAAGTATTAAAGTTTCTTATCAAACAAGCAGTCTCCTGTTTCAGGTTACACGTTTTGCCAAACAAACAATCCTCTGATTCGGGTTACACGTTTTGATTTATGTTATATATATATTTGTTAATACATTTGATTCAAATACGTCGGTTTCTCACAGCACTCATTAGATTTGTCATTTTGATCATTTAAAGAAACTGACTGATAACGTCAATCAAACGTCAGAAAAATAAAAAATGTGTTTGATAGAAACACAGTAGGGCCCCTAGTGGCTAACTGCAATATAACGATAAAATTCGGGATTTGATGCCCATTGTGATAGCCCTTTGTGCTTGAAAACAAAGAAACGTGATGAGAATGATGAAAAAGTAAATTGGAAATTATCATTAAGACGTTGATTTGTGGAGATAACTAAAAAATATAGCATATATTTCTTTAATCTAGATTCTAATATTTTAAATTTACCAAACATGGAAACGATACAGCCTTTCAGTGGATTGTTTATTTTTATTGAACTTTTTTTACAACGTTTCGATCACTCGTGTAGTCTTCATCGAGTAGTCGAAACGTTGTTGAAAGCTGTATCTTTGGACTTTTATTAATAGTGTATTTCCTCTCTTCACAACAAATGGAAACATAATAAAAGTCCAAAGATACAGCTTTTCAGTGGATTGTTTATTTTTATTGAACTTTTTTTATAACGTTTCGATCACTCGTGTAGTCTTCATCGAGTGGTCGAAACGTTGTTGAAAGCTGTATCTTTGGACTTTTATTTATAGTGTATTTCCTCTCTTCACAACAAATGGAAACATAATAAAAGTCCAAAGATACAGCTTTTCAGTGGATTGTTTATTTTTATTGAACTTTTTTTACAACGTTTCGATCACTCGTGTAGTCTTCATCGAGTGGTCGAAACGTTGTTGAAAGCTGTATCTTTGGACTTTTATTTATAATGTATTTCCTCTCTTCACAACAAATGGAAACATAATGTTGATAATAAAAATTTACTAAACACGTGAAAAAACAAATACATTCTGTATGGCAAACACTGGTAACCATAGCTACAACGATATGATTGTTGGTTTGGAACACATTATACTGTTAGGT